GATAGATAGATAGATAGATAGATAGATAGATAGATAGATAGATAGATTGACAGACAGATTGATAGAAATAGTAATAGCACTTAGACTTATATACCACTGCACAATGCTTTACAGCCCTCTCTAAGCCGTTTATAGAGTTAGCCTATTATCTCCAACAATTTGGGTCCTCATTTTACTGACCTGAGAAGGATGGAAGGCTGGGTCCACCTTGAGCCACTCAGAATCAAACTCCCGGCAGTTCGCAGTGAGTTAGCCTGCAGTACTACATTCTAATCGCTGCGCCAGCATGGCTCCTGAATCAATAGCAATGAAAAACAGGTATTTGGACTGAGCTAAAAGCTGATTCTGGCAGACACTCAGGGAAGTGCCCGAACTATGCCACAATTCCAGTTACCCAACAGCTTCCGTGGAACGGATTCTATTGAAAAGCTTTTCTCTTGGTTTGCAGCTGATTCCATCGTTTGTTTCACGTGTGAAGAGCAGGTCTCAAACTGGAAATGCTTGGACGCCACCGTCTGTCCTGAGGGGGAGAAACGATGTATAACACTTGGTGTGGTGTCAGGAACAGGTAAGCAATGGAATCCGTGAGACCCGCTGGGGGTTCGCAGGGGTTTGGGGGAGACCCCTAGCTAAGATTCTGTGCAGTTCGGAGAAACCCCCCAATTCCATTCCTGGCTGGCCCCGCTTACCTCATCCCTCCTAGGAGTCCCCAAAGGGCCTGTTTGGGATGAAGGTAACTGCAGGGTGTGCGTGGAGGCTTGGGGAGGGCACAAAACGGGCCTCCCAGAAGTTTGGGAAGACCAGAAATGTTTCTGGCTTTCAGACAATCTCCGGAGCCCAGGGAGGCTGTTTTCACCTTCCTGGAGGCTTAAGGAAAGCCCCTGGAGTCTGGGGAGGGCAAAATGTCCCCACCACCACCACCACCATGGTGCATTAGGTTGACTAGGCCAAACACATCATGGCCACACCCACCCAGCAACCAGACAGGTAACCCTTTGCTAAAAATTTTAAAGCCCACCCCTGTGTGAGACTCTTCTGCCAGTTTCTCTAAGGGTTCTGTCCATTGGTTCTTCAGAAGGCCCTAAAAATGTATTAAAATCATGATATAGGTAGTCCTTAACTTGGCAGTCCAATCTCTTCTTGAAGGCCTCCAGTGATGAAGCTCCCACAACTTCTGAAAGCAAGCTGTTCCATTGAGAACAATCCACCCATGGAACAGAAGTTGCCTTCTGAAGTTGTGGGAGCTTCATCACTGGAGGCCTTCAAGAAGAGATTGGATTCCCATTTGTCAGAAATGGTGTAGGGTCTCCTACTTAGGAGGAGGAGATTGGACTAGATGACCTACAAGGTCCCTTCCAACTCTGTCAATCTGTTACCCATTCGTTTAGTGAATGAAGTTACAATGGCACTGAAAAAAAAGTGACTTATGAGCATTTTTCACACTTACAACCATTGTAGCATCCCTGAGGTGGTCATAATTTGAAGGCTTGGCCACTGGCCTGCTTTTATAACCAATGCAATGTCTCAGGGTCATACAATCACCTTTTGCAATCTTCTAGCAGGCATGAAACAACCAGGTGAACAACTTAACAACGGTGGCAAAAAAAGGTTGTACAATGGGGCAAAACTCACTCCACAGCAAAAACTTCGGGTTCAATTCTTGTAAGACCAGGACTCCCTGCGGTAACGTTGGTCCTTGGGGGACTTGGTATCAGCCACACTAGGTAGACCAAAGTGACAAATGGAATTCATGGGGAAACTAAAACTTCTTCTTTGAGAGCGAGAGAGTGACTAGAATAACAGAATCTGTTATTCGGTAACTCTACTTCTGTGTTGGCCGAGGGTATTTGTTCTCCATGATTTCCACTCTTTTTATGTTCTCCCTCTGAAGGTTATGATTCCAAAGTGCTCATCACAAAATCGTGTGCCAAGAAGTGTCCCTCTGAAAAAGATTATCCAGAGAAGGCCCTCGGTTCTCTTTTTTGCTGTGATTGTTCTTGGTGTAATATACTACCTCCAAAATAAGTGAGACGGTCAAGACTGGAGGGCCGAGTTTGGCATTCTTGACTGAAGCTGCATTCCATGAACTTAGCTATGGTGGATGACAGAGAACAAGTATTTCAATTCGTTTTCCCTTTTGCCCAGGCATCCAACCATAATTGTGCCTCCCTCCTTGTCAAACTGGATTTTCTTCTTTTATCCTTTTAAACAATCTGTTGTGGATTGTGAAGAAAAAGTGAATGTTAATCATGTGTCATCTCTGTACAACACCTGAAATATAGAACAGAACTGAGCATAACAGAACAGATTAGAATAGAATAGAATGGAATGGAATGGAATGGAATGGAATGGAATGGAATGGAATGGAATAGAATAGAATAGAATAGAATTCTATTAGAATTATAGAATAGAATTTACTGGCCAAGTGTGATTGGACACACAAGGAATTTGTCTTGGTGCAAATGTTCTCAGTGTACATAAAAGGAAAGACACATTCATCAAGAGTCAAGAATCATCAGGTGCAACACTTAATGATAGTCATAGGGTACAATTAGCAATAAAATCATACTAGGAAACAGTCAATAAAAATCGTAAGGATACAAACGACAAAGTTACAGTCATACAATCACAAGTGGGAAGGGGTGGGTGATAAGGAGTGATGAGAAGATTAATAGTGATAGTAATGCAGACTTTGTAAATAGTTGGATAGTGTTGAGGGAATTATTTGTTTAGCAGAGGGATGGCCTTTGGGGAAAAAACTGTCCTTGTGTCTAGTTGTTCTGGTGTGCAGTGCTCTATAGCATCGTTTTGAAACCGTTTATGTCCGTGATGTGAGGGGCCTGTAATATTGGATATTAAAAACCTATTAAAAGCATCCTTGGTGTTCTCTTAATTCAATTGTTTGAGCACACCACATATTGGATTGAAATTTTCCATTGTAGGAAAAGATGCTACTTTGCGATGCTACAAAAGGTCGAGATCTTTCTTTGGAGCTCTTCATGGTCCCTGATCATTTTTATCACCCTGAATAAATTAATGTCATCAGTCAAATTGGTTATTCTTTCTTCAGCTTCAACCGCAATAATACACGGGCAAATAACCGATACAAATTCAAGGTAAACCACTCCAAACTCGAGTGCAGAAAATACGACTTCAGCAACAGTGGTCAATACCTGGAATGCCCTACCCAATTTCATTGTTACAACCTCAACCTCTCACAGCTTCAACCTCAAACTGTCTACTGTGTACAGTCTACTCACCCCATTCCTAAGTGGTTCTTAAAGGGGGCATGTATTAGCACACCAATGTGCCTACCGTCCCTGTCTTACTGTCCCTGTTTATCTGTATTTGCTTCCTTTGTTTACGTTTATGTTCATACCTATACCTGTGATCTTGTATATGTTTGACAAACAAACAAGCAAGCAAACAAACAAACAAATGTCTGACCAACCTTCTGTTTCTCATCTGTGCCTATCCTGACTTTTGGAATTCAGGGCTTACATCCACAGACTGATTTGGGGGAGAACCTGTTATGCTCAGATCTGCTCAAATGAGGCCATGTTTGTAGAAAGAAGTAAGAGTCATACTCATAACCTGAGAGTTTAGAAAACTTGAAACTTACAGTATTATGAGAAAAATATACTTATGAAGTTGAACATTCTTACCCTGTAACAATAGGAACCAGATAAACATGTTTATCGTATGCAGTTTACTTCATTCAGTTCACATTATGCTCACATTGACCGATTTTGAATTTTTGGATGAATTTCTACCCTAGTTGGGGTTCAAGAAAGGATCTCACAGCCCTCTTCCAACATTTTTAGCCTCTTTGGCTCTCTCAGGGAGGATCTTTCTCTCTTAGGCCAAATTGCTCTTACTGGCAAAATCTCAACTAAACGATTTCTAGAATCACAGGAGGAAATTTGGAGGAACAGGTTTGTTTGGTGGTGACTGAGTTCAGTTCTGAGAATCTTCCTGAGATTTCTTCTGAGTAATCCCACCTTGGAACAGATTCTGGCTCTTTCTTTAGGGCTAATTTGCCTCTGGGCCTAGCAGATCCTCCTTTTTCCCTGGTTCTCTGGCTTTTCTCATGGCCCTAAGAAGTTGTTTATCGCTCAATGAAGAATCGTGATGTTCCTGCTGGTAGTTTTGTTCCAGAAACTTTACTGCCATGTCTGACCAACCTTCTGTCTCTCGTCTGGGCCTATCCTGACTTTTGGAACTCAGGACTCACATCCACAGACTCATTTTGGTGGGCGGGGGGCACATCTCCTGCTCAGATGTGCTCAAAGGAGGCCATGTTTGTCAAAAGAAGGATTAGAACACCTGGGGCATTTGCCCGTTTGATTAACTGACATTCAAACAAAAAATAAGAAGGCCCTGAACTTTGTTGAAAGAGATTTTGTTTAAGATTGTAGTTTTGCACACGTTATGCAACCTTCCATGACTTCAGGAAACGATATCAACTGTCCTGTTGCTCAAATTTGCACATGGAACGGTAGGGTTTATCCAATTGTCCAGGTGCCCAAGTTTTGCACACAGAACAGTAGTGTTTGCCTTGAAGACAAGAACCTGTTGGTTCTTCCTCTGCTCTGCTCTGGTTATCTTATACATGTTTGACAAATAATCAAACAAACAAATAAATAAATATTCCACTCATAATCCCTGATTCCAGATGACTGATGAAAAACAACCGTCCTAGGATAGAATCCTAGGAGATCCCACTAGTAATATCTCTCCATCGTGAGAACTGTCCATACTCCACTCAGAATCAAGGCCGCAGCTGTAGAGGGGGTCAATAGGATTAAGTATCTTGGGGTGCAGATAACTAACAATCTGAACTGGTCTCTCCACGTGTCATTCTTACTGAAGTGTGCAAACCAGCATCTGTATTTCCTGCGTCGGATGAGGAGGGCACAACTTTCTCCTTCTGTCCTGACCACTTTCTTACAGAGTCACAGTTGAGAGCGTTTTCACAAACTGCATCATTGCTTGGTTTGGTGTCAGCAGTGTTTCAGATAGAAAGTCCGTACAGAGAGTGGTGAGGACTCACTGTCAGAAAATTCCTCCTTATTTTCAGGTTGAATCTCTCTTTGATCAGTTTCCATCCATTATTCCTTGTCTGGCTTTAGAAAACAGGTTGATCGTCTCCTCTCTAGGGCAGCCCCTCAAATATTGGAAGACTGCTATCCTGTCTCCCCTGGTCCTTCTCTTCCCTAGACTAGCCAGGCCCAGTTCCTGCAACTGTTCATCGTATGTTTGAGCCTCCAGTCCCCTAATCATCCTGGCTGCTCTTCTTTCTGTAGGAAGGTCCCCCCTCCCCAGATTAAAATATTCTTTATTCTTAATATTTAAAAGAGGCACAATATTGTATTTCTCCAAAGGAGAAAAAAAAATCTTAACAAAGGTAGAAAACAGCTTAGCAAAACAATTTCAAATTAAGAAACTTGAAGAAAGTTTCTTGTTGCAGAAACCCCACTGCCATGTCTGACCAACCCTCTGTCCTGATGCTCTGATCCTGACTTTCAGTTCTGGAGAATCCTTTCATTCATGGCTAGTTTAATCCAGGAGTGAGCTGCTACTGGTTTGCCCCGGTTCAGGCGAACCGGTACCTAATCGGTAGCTAATTTTATGGCTGATTCAGGGAAAATCCCACCCCAGACTGACTCTGCCCGCCCTCCTCTCCTAGGAATCCCCATGCATGGAGGATCAAGGAGGGCAAAAAGAAGGCCTCCCAGAGGCTCCAGAAGGCCAGAAATGGACCTATTTCTGGCCTCCAGAGGTCCTCCAGAGCCTGGGAAGGTCATTTTCGCCCTCCTGGAGGCTCAAGGAAAGCCTCTGGAGTCTGGGGAGGGTGAAAATGGCCAGGCCCACACAGCAACTGAGCAGAGAACCGGTTGCTAAATTTTTTGAAGCCCACCCCTGGATTAACCTAATCCTCAGATCTAATCCGGGAAGGCCATGTTTGTTGAACAGACACAGATCCACAATTAGAGAGTGTTGGAAGAAATATCCATCCGGTTCATTCCAAGCCAGGAGAAAGGCACTGGAGACAAAATGGAGACTGGAGGCTGATTGGAAAGAGGGTCCATTGATGGATGAAGCAGAAACACATGGGTGGTTTTGGGCAGCTCACCACATGGAATTGAGAGTGAGGGGTATATGTACCTTATCTTGGGCTTTGCACTTGAGCTTCTTGTTCCTGTGCAAGAAAATGTATTTTATTGGCTGTGACCAGACTCTCATGGGACCATGTGGATCAAGTTTGCCTGAGTCAAGTTTGGTTGAAGTTCGCTGGGTGTAGCAATGTCCTTAGGAGATTATGCAATGTCTGCTGCTAGATAACCCTTTTATAACAGATAACAGATAATCAGAGCTGGAAGGGACCTTGCAGGACATCTAGTCCAACCCCCTGCCCAAGCGGGAGACCCTACACCATTTCTGACAAATGACAGTCCAATCTCTTCTTGAAAGTCTCAAGTGATGATGCTCCCACAACTTCCCAGGGCAAGTTGTTCCATTGGTTGATTGTTCTCATTGTCAGAAAGTTTCTCCTTATTTCCAGATTAAATCTCTCCTTGTTCAGTTTCCATCCATTAGTCTTTGTCTGACTTTCAGGTGCTTTGGAAAATAGCTTGACCCCTTCCTCTCTGTGGCAGCCCCTCAAATATTGGAAGACTGCTATCATGTTTCCCCTGGTCCTTCTCTTCACTAGACTAGCCAAGCCCAGTTCCTGCAACAGTTCATTGTATGTTTTAGCCTCCAGTCCCCTAATCATCCTGGATGCTGTTCTCTGTACTTTTTCTTTTATATCCTGGAGAGTCATGTCTGAATCCCATCACCCTGGAGCAGAAGATCTTTTGTCTTTAGATAGGCTGGCCAAGTCCTGCTGGGGCTACTAAGAAAGACTTGTGGTAGGGGGGTCTGCTTTCTATCTTTAAAAACATGTCTCCTTTACGGAAATATAATATTCTGGCTTTTTCAATATTTCTCAAAATATTTCATTCTTCTAGGAGGGGTTTAGTGGTATTATTACTTCCCTTGATCTTGATTGCATCCCTCTGTTAATACAATTTAGGATTGCATTAGCTTTTTTGGCGGCGGCTGCACACTGCTGGCTCATATTTAGCTGGTTGTCCACTAAGACTCCAAGATCCTTCTCACAGTTACTGCTATTGAGCCTGGTTTCACCCAGTCCATATGTGTACTTTTGGTTTTTCTTGCCTAAGTGTAGGACTTTACTTTTCTCTATATTGATTTCATTTTATTAGATATAGCCCAGTGTTCTAGTCTGTCGAGATCCATCTGGATCTTGAGCCTATCTTCTTGGGTGTTAGCTATTCCTGCCAGCTTAGTATCCTCTGCAAATTTGGTAAGTTCCCCTTCTATTCTCTCATCTAAGTCATTAATGAAGATATTGAAAAGTACTGGGCCTAAGACAGAACCTTGTGGCACCCCACTGCTTACTTCCCTCCAGGTAGACTTAGACCCATTAAGGACTACTCGTTGAATACAGTTTGACAGCCAGTTGAGAGTCCATCTAGTAGTGGTGCTATTTATTCCACCTTTTACTGAAATCTTAGTATAATATATCCAGAGCACTTCCTTTGACTACCACCTTAGCCCCTTTGTCAAAGAATGAAAGATATGGTACAATGGTTCTAAGGTACCATCTGCCAATTCCTTCAGAACCCTGGGAATCTGTCAGGTTGCAGTAATTTAAATTCATCAAGATCAGAAAGGTGTTCTATTACCATTTTTTCCATTATTTTTATTTTTATTTCTAGTCTGTCTTCTTTGGTTATATTTTTGGTAGGTTGGGCTATAGTTTTGTGTGTGAGAGAGAGAGAGATGATTGATGCAAAGAAGGAGTTAAGCAGTTCACCTTTGTGTCTCGAAAGCATGTTACTTTTTGCCACATTCTCTCTTTTGAGCGTGTATAATAATTTAAGTCCTTTAGGGGTTATGTTTCCTATATATCTTGCTTTGTAACTGGATTTTCCATCATTCCCATCACTTTCTACTTCATTATGCCATTGATTATGTTGGGGTTTATATTTGGAATTAAGTCCCAAAGATCCTAAAGATTGTCTTAGAAATTCTAAATATTAATCCCCCTCCCCCTCGTTTTTAGTTCAAAGCCCTCCTGATAAGTTGAGCCAGTCCTTTTCTAAAAAACATTCTTTCAAGGTCTTCAGAGGTGCAACCAACACTACAGCCATCAGTTCATTTCTAAAACTGTTTGTTCTCTCATTGTATCTTGACCTATCATTGGACGTATCGATGAAAATGCCACGTGGGCTCCTAATTCCTTAACTTTCTTGCCTAGTTGTTATCATCTCTTGATATTGTTTTTTGGTTCATTGTCCTGTCTTTCTTCCCTACATGAAGAAGGAAGAGGGGGTAGTAACTTGCGGGGTTGACTGTTTTAACTAAGGTTTTTGGCTCCATCTTTGATTTTTGCTTCAGGAAGGCAACTTATTTCCCTTGATCTCATATCTGGTCTGCAGACCGCTGGGTCCAAGAATTGAATGTTCTCTCACCAACCCTTCCCTTTTCTTCTCCCTAGGGAAGTTTGGGCTACTTTATTTTTTATCACAGGAACACCTGAAGATGCCACTTTTCTAGGCACATTTGATGAGGCCTCTTTTTAGGTGGTTCCTTGCTGTCTTCCAGGGGTAGGCTATGAAATTGCTTGCTCAGCTCCAACAGGGCTAAATTAGAGTGCGCTGGAATGGAAAGGACTAGAATAGGCAGCAGCAAGGGGATTGTTTTCAGTTACTGTATTTTCCACCTAGGACTGATCGATTTCCATCGATCCTCCTCATTTCCAGGGTCATTTTTTTATCAATTAGTGGTTGCTTATTATGTTCAATTTGGATGTAGCTTTCTTGCTAAGTTTGGAATTTCTCATTCAGTAGGTTTAACCAATAAATCAGAATAGAGCTAGAAGGGACCTTGGAGCTCTCTAGTCCAACCTTCTCATCAAACGGGAGACCCTATACCATTTCAGACAGGTGGCAGTCTAGTCTCTTCTCAAAAGCCTCCAGTGTTGGAACACCCACAACGACTGAAGGAAAGAGGTTCCACTGGCTAATTGTCCTCATTATTTTCTCCTGAATTCCAAGTTGCTTCTTTCTTTGATTAGTTTTCATCCCTTGTTTCTCATCTTGCCTGCTGGTGCTTTGTGTAGTTTGTTTCGTTTAGTTCAGGGGTATCAAACTCGATTTCATTGAGTGCTGCATCAGGGTTGTGTTTGACCTCGGGGACCACAGCGGTTGTGACCAGGGAGGGTATGGCCAGCTCAATGTCACCCATGTTGTGGGCCCCTCTTGCAACCCAAGTGCTCCGCCAGAGAAAACGGGCTCCCAAGTTCCATTTTATGCTGCAACGGCCTCCTGCAACCCTCCACCCCTCTCAAGCTCTGTTTTCACTGGCAGATGTATTGCGGGTCAGTCCTTCACTATATACAGTGTACGATGGGAGGTTCAAAAATTTTCCTCATGGTGCCTAGAAAACAACCTGCACCTGAACATCAAGAAGACAAAGGAGATGGTGTCAGACTTCCGGAAGAAGAGAGAGGAACCTGCCCCACTTTACATCAAGGGAGGCTGTGTGGAGACACTTTTCTCCTTTAAATTCCTGGGAGTCTACCTCAGCGAAGATCTTCCCTGGAAAACCAACACAACCCAGGCAGCCAGAAAGGCCCAACAGAGACTCCATTTCCGTAGGGTTTTGTGAAAGAATAAAGTGGAACAATGACTGATGACCTCCTTTTACCAGTCAGAAAACATCCTCACACATTGCATTACAGTGTGGTATGCTGGCTAGACAGCCACGGATAGAAAGACATTACAGAGGGTGGTGAGCACAGCACAAAACATTGTGGGCTGTTCCCTGATACCACTAGATGACCTCACTAGGGCTCACTACCTTAGAAAATCAACAAAAATTCATCAAGGGCCTGGAGGCTAAAACATCTGAAGAACGATTGCTGGAACTGGGTATGTCTAATCTAATGAAAAGAAGGTCTAGGGGTGACATGATAGCAGTCTTCCAATATTTGAGGGGCTCCAACAAAGAAGACAGGGTTAACCTATTATGCAAAGCACCAGAAAGTAGGACAAGAAACAATGGATGGAAACTCATAAGGAGAGAACCAACCGTGAACTAAGGAGAAATTTCTTGATAGTTGAAACAATTAATCAGCGGGATGGATTGTCTTCCGAAGTTATGGGTTCTCTATTCCTGGAAATTTGTAAGAAGAGATTGGATAACCATTTATCTAAAATATTACAGGGCCTCATGCTTAGGCAGCGCATTGGAGTAGAGGTCCTCCAAAATTCGCTTCCAACTGTGTTATTTTATTATTGTGAAACACCTGTTGTTTCCATCCACAGATTTAATGTACAGGTAGTTAAATTCCTTCTTCTCCCTCAAGTTTGAGGGAGCTTCAGAAAAAAGTTATATCTGTTAAATCAAGGCAACATTTGAACATCTTGTACAGCAATTCTTTCCAATTATCCAATTATCCTAGTGCCTCAAGTGAGGTTGAGACGCACAGAATTATATGCTCTCTCCATCAACTAAAATTCCATTACATCCCCCACATATACACTGATTGTGGGTATTTTACTACTGCCAGTTGACTGATTGAAATGTACAGATAGTTAAATTCCTTCTTCCCCCTCAGCTTTGATGGAGCTTAAGACCTCAGTTTAAAATTAATCTTGGTGGATTTCCAAAGTCAAAAGAGATTAAGAGAGATGTTTACCTATCTTTGCTCATGCAAAACAAATATCGTGCATTGTGCAATATTACCATACTATCCACATTGTCTCTCACAGAGAACCTACAGGAATAAGGAATAAGAACTGGCATTCATTCATTTGGCTCCTGGTTAAAAAAAATGGCACGGTTCCAATACAACCATGATTGTGTTCCAGATAGTACTTTTTGCCACTAACCCACTTTTTGGCAGCTGCCAAAAAGACCAACACAATCCTAGACTGCATAAACAGAAGGATACAATCCAAATCATGTGAAGTATGATTCAGACTTTATTAAAGCCTTAATAAGACCTCGCTTAGAATATGGCATCCCGTTTTGAAATTTGCCATGTTGAGACTCACTGCTATTCTCTCTTGAACCTGGATCTTCTCTCTTGAACCTGGCTCTCCAGCCCCCACAAGGTGGGGTACAGGTATATATCTTCTACCATCCTGGACTGCACTTTGAAGGCGGCAGAGCAGATTGCAAGATGAAAGCTTTGCTACTTGCTTTGTTGTGGGTCGAATTCCTGTTCAGGGATCCAGGTAGGATCCCGAACCTTTGATCTGAGTTGGGGATTTTATAAGCATTTATTTATAAATTTTATTGGCTGCCCCTCGTACCATAGAGTATCTCTGTGTGGCTTACAGTTAAATTCCCGTTAAAACATAAACATTAAAACTCAAACATTAAAACCAAAGAGACACTTGAAGGGCGGGGGTGGAGTAGGGTGGAAGTGGGTCTGTTATTGCTCAGTTGACCTCCTCCATTGAGCTGATCCACCACGGGGCTCCCAAGTAGACTGGCAAGGCCACCTCTTTAAGCCCGTATCAAAAGATAGAAGAGTTGAGGCCAACTTCACACTGGGAGTAGCAAGGTTTTCGGGAGGGTAGGAGTTACAGCAGGGAAACCCTTGCTCCTGGACTCCACCACTTGGAATATTGGGCCAGAGGACGGGACCTTCAGGGTGCCCCCTCTCCTGGCATCTGTGGCATGGGCTAATTCCAGTGGGGTGGGTAACCTGACTCCTTCCCACGAAGGGCTTTAAAAGGGATCACCAATACTTTGAATTGGAAGGAGAAGCAGACTGGTAACCAATGCAGCTCATGGAGCAGTGGGGTCACACGGGCCATTCTTGGCCCCCGCAAAATAGCCTGCACCGCCCCACTCTACAGCAGCTAGAACTTCCGAATGTGCTTCCTGTGTCTGTGTTATTTGTGGGACTGCCTCTTCCCAATGAAATCAATGTCCCTTCCCAATGAAATCTGTCCCTCCCATCATACGCAAGAGAAGAGGCCTGTTGTGGGTGCAGTCTGCTAAGGAGCTCCATCTGGTGGGACCCTGGAGACGGGACCTTTCTGCCATGCTTCCACAGAGGAAGAGAGTTGGGATAACCCCTCCCTGGAATCTCCCAGGATATATCCGCTAGGAGGAGGGAAGGAAGGGCTCCATCTGGCAAGATCCTTTGAGGAATTGTCACCTATCACTCCTGCATAATTGTTTTGCCACACAGACATAAGATGACTGGAGGGGCTTTCAGTTGTCAGCCTAAGACTAAGGATGGACAAGAGCAATTCAGCCAGAGCTCAGTGATGTATTTCCTGACTCACAATACAGAGGATCCTCCCAGGTGGAGCCCTTCCTTCCCTCCTCCTAGCAGATATATCCTGGGAGATTCCAGGGAGGGGTTATCTCAACTCTCTTCCTCTGGCTCTTATATTCTCTGAGCTGCAATGCCTCTTGTTTCTACACACAGAAATGCTCACGCACACAGACACACACAGAGACATAGACACAAACACAAGGAAAGACTACATCATTTTTAATCTCTCTCCCTCTCTCTATATATGTGTTATGTCTTTGGGACTGGTTGGAGTCCCCAACCAGGTCCGCTGTTTGAGCGGGAGCACCAGCCGCTCCCATTGGCTGGCACCGTTTGACAGCCGGCTATAAAAGTCGGCTGTCGAGCAGTGCCAGCCCCGTTGCCGCCAGCTAGTCTGCCTAGCGAGAAGGCAGACACGGCAACCCTTTATTCTTTGCAATAAAGCCTTTTTGTTTCACTCTGGGTTAGCCTCGTTCCTTCCGCCGCTCTACAACACTGGCGATGAGGGCGGGATGCGATCAGAGGCTACCAGTAGTGCGATTCTGAAGAGCTGAAGCCACTAAGAGCGAGCCACGGGCGCTGAAGCCGCCGAAGCTCACAAAGAGCGTGAAATTCAAAAAAACCTTCGAGGGTTTTGAGCTGTAGTCACTAGAGCGAAATCACGGGCGCTGAAGCCGCAGCTGCCGGCGCTCACAAAGGGCGCGAAATTCAAAAGCCTCCGTAGCCGGAGAGACTGACACCACCTGATAGCGCAGCCGCAAGCGCTCTTCTAAGAGCGCGAATTTTGAAGCAAGTCTGAAGGGGACGAGCCCTGCCGTTTCCAAAATGAATGCCACTCCGACATTCCCACCATTCAAGCCAGCCAAGGAAACGTGGGACTCATACAAAAACCGTTTCAGCTACTTCCTCGATGCCATCGGTTTAGCAGTTGCTGCTGAGCACAGGAAAAAATCCTACTTCCTCAGCTACTGTGGGGCTGCGGTTTTTGACACCGCTACAGCACTAGTCGCCCCTCGTGCTATCAGAAGCATACCGTGGGATGAACTCCAAGAGATCCTCTCCAACCACTACTCACCTAAACCATCCCAGATAGCCAGGAGATATGCTTTCAGAACCAGAAAGCAGGCTGAGGGAGAGTCAATTAATGAGTATATAGCAGCTCTGAGGACAGCTGCCTTACAGTGCGGTTTCAGAGACTACCTAGAAGACATGTTATTAGACCAGATCGTCTGTGGTGTTAGAGACCTGAGGCTTCAAAGACGGCTGCTAGCAAAAAAGGACTTAAACCTAGCTTCAGCCGTGGAGGAAGCCCAAGCTGCTGAGCTCTCTGCCCAATCAGCAGCTGAGATTCAAGGAACTCCTTTAAAACCCAGCAGTTCCACTATTCATTCAGAGGAAGTTTCCCTGGAAAAAGACCCCATAGACTCAACAGACATTAACCGCCTTAAGCAACAAAAGCCTGCACAGGTAGGAGCAGGGCAGAGAAACAACTTCGCCCCCAAGCAACCTTCCATTTGCCTAGCTTGCGGGGGCTCCCACTCCAGGGCATCCTGCAGATTTAAGAACGCCATCTGTCTGAATTGTCAAAAGAAAGGTCACCTCGCTAGAATCTGCCAAGCAGGGCGAACCTTTCCTCAAAGATCTCCACCACCTACTAATCTCCAAAGACAAGTGGAGGACTGCTATACCTGCTACCACGCTAACCAAACCTCCCAAACTCCTAATAAAATCAGTATTTCTGTTTCTTTAGAAGGTAAGCCCTGCAGGATGGAGGTAGACACGGGATCTGCACTTTCAATCATCTCCTGGGAAACCCTAAAGAAGATTCATCCCAGTTTTTCAAAGAAGAAGCTGCAGAGATGCCACCTGACGCTGCGGGACTACCAGGGCAAGAACATCCCTGTCCTCGGGAAAGGCAAGTTTTTAGTTCATTTCCAAGCCTTTAAAGGCCATTTGCCTTTGGTGGTTGTTAATGGTGCCCTCCCCAGTCTGTTGGGGCTAGATTGGTTCCCTTCCCTCGGCCTTAGTGTAACTGGGATCCATGCTGTCTCAACTTCTGACGTAGATGCACTATTTTCAGATTATTCTGATGTGTTTAGCAGCGAGCTGGGTTGCTATTCTGGCACCCCCATCTCCTTCTCTGTGGACCCCCAGGCAATTCCTCTGCGCCTTAAGCCACGCAGGGTACCTTTCGCCATCCGTCCCAAGTTAGACGCAGAACTAGATAAGCTACTAAAGCAAGGCGTGTTAGAACCAACTGATTTTGCCAAATGGGAGACCCCCATAGTCACCCCACTCAAGAAAGATGGCAGTTTAAGAATCTGCGCAGACTATAAAACCACCCTCAACCGTTACCTGCAGGTCAGCGCATACCCTGTCCCTGTTATTCAGCACCTGTTACACACCTTCGAACCTGGCACCATTTTCGCCAAGTTAGATATGTCCCAGGCATACCAACAGTTCCCTGTTGATGATCAGACAGCTGAATTACAAACCATAGTCACACATAGAGGGGCATTCAGGTGTAAACGCCTCCAATTCGGTGTAAGCGTAGCCCCGGGTATATTCCAATCACTCATGGAAAGGATTCTCCAGGGTCTCCCAGGGGTTGTCCCCTATTTCGATGACATCTTAGTCTCAGCAATTGACAGACCTCAGCTCATACAGAGGGTCAGAGCGGTTCTAGAGAAGTTTAGGCAGCATGGCCTCAAACTTAAAAGGGAGAAGTGCGCCATCGCCACTAGGCAAGTGGACTTTCTGGGATATAGGATAGACACCTCTGGCATCCACCCAATCGAATCCAAGGTAAAGGCCATCCATGAGGCACCAACACCAACTAACAAGACGGAGCTCCAAGCTTTTCTGGGGCTACTAAACTTTTACGCCTCATTTCTCCCGCCAAAGCATCTATCGCTGAACCCTTACACAGGCTGTTAGACAAAGAATCCCCCTGGCATTGGGGACCCAAAGAAGACCATGCTTTCAAAGCAGTCAAATCCTTACTTACATCGGATGCAGTTTTAATTCAATTTGATCAATGACTCCCCCTGGTCCTAGCTGCTGATGCATCCCCTTTTGGGATTGGGGCTGTCCTAAGCCACAGACTTCCCAACGGTTCTGAGGCACCAATTGCCTTTTTCTCTAGGACCTTCTCTACGGCAGAAAGGAACTACAGTCAAATAGATAAAGAGGCCCTGGCTGCGGTGGCTGCAGTTAAAAAGTTTCACGAATTTTTGTTCGGGCACCATTTTGAACTTGTAACTGACCATAAACCTCTCCTGGGACTCTTATCAGGGGATAAGCAAACCCCGCAGGTACTATCACCTAGAATGACCAGATGGACCTTGTTCCTGGCCGCTTACTCATTCAAGTTGGTGCATCGACCTGGCAAAAACTTGAGTCACGCCGATGCCCTTAGTCGCTGCCCCCTACCAGTCCCAGTCGAAGACCCAGCACCGGTTCATGCCATTTTTGAAGTTAATGAACTTAAATTACCAGTTACAGCCGAGGACATTGCTGCGCACTCAAAAAAAGACAAGATAATTGCCCAGGTTCTGGACTGGGTGGGAAGGGGGTGGCCGGAAACTCAAGGTACCGTTGACTTTGCTCCTTTTAAAACCCGTCAGCAGGAACTATCGAAGCTACAGGGATGTCTGCTGTGGGGTACAAGGGTAGTCATCCCAGCCACTCTTCGTGTACCCATCCTGAAGGTGCTTCACGAGGGCCACCCGGGCATCGTAAGGATGAAGGCTCTGGCCCGCAGCTACGTTTGGTGGCCCGGCATGGATGCCCAAATCGCCAGCTGGGTAAGCTCATGCCAACCTTGCCAAGAAACCAGGGCTGCCCCACCAGCTGCCATGCCCACCAGGTGGGAGAGCGCTAGTGCCCCTTGGTCCCGCCTGCACATCGACCTGGCTGGACCGGTGCATGGCAGGACCTTCTTAGTGGTTGTGGACTCCTACTCCAAGTGGATAGACCTGGCTCTGCTACCCTCGACTACCACTCAAGCAATAGTTAAGGCTCTGACCTGCTTATTCGCTACCCATGGACTCCCTGACACGCTGGTGTCTGACAATGGCCCGCAGTTCACGTCATGTGAGTTCAGTATGTACGTTGCTAACTTGGGCATCCGACACATCCTTACAGCTCCTTTTCACCCCGCTAGCAACGGGATGGCTGAGAGGGCAGTCAGGTCAGCCAAGGAGGCACTTGCCAGGTTTGGCCAGGAAAACTGGCACTCTAAACTGTCACGTTACCTTCTGAGCCAACATACGACGCCATGCACCACTATTAATAAATCCCCTGCCGAACTCTTGATGGGGAGACGCCTTAGGACCATCCTGGACAGGTTGCACCCCCACTACTGCCCAGACGCCCCTTTAGGGTCTGACAGTCTGGTCAGGGACTTTGTTCTGCATGACCTGGTGTACGCCAGGAATTATGCAGGGGATCCTTTGTGGGTACCTGGTCAAGTCGTATCGGTCACAGGTCCGAGATCCTACAGGGTCCTCCTGGAAGATGGACGCCTGTGGCAGAGACACGTGGACCAACTCAGAAGGCGATGGAGAGGTGCGACCGTTACCGGCCCAACCCAACCTTCCAGCACCAGGGGCTCCCTGCCGGTGCCAATCTGCTCAGACGGAAGCTCCCTGCGGGACCCGGTCTACCCCGTCAACCAGGAGAGTTTGCTGGAGGACCCGAGTTCCCGGCCAGAGTCACCGAACCAACAGCCCAGCGAACCTGTTTGCCAACCGGACCTAGCGACTCGCCCAGGTCAGCCCGAACTGGGGGACTTACCGAACTCACAGAAAACTACACCTGACCAAGCCCATTCCCCAACAACCTCCGAGGCGTTTCCCGGGGGCAAGGACTTGGCGCCAGCCAGCAGTTTACCCGGGTTGCGACGTTCTGGTCGCCAGCGCAGACAACCGACTTACCTAAAGGACTACGCATGTCCCCAGCTGGGGGAAAGGAGTGTTATGTCTTTGGAACTGGTTGGAGTCCCCAACCAGGTCCGCTGTTTGAGCGGGAGCACCAGCCGCTCCCATTGGCTAGCTCCGTTTGACATTCGGCTATAAAAGCCGGCTGTCGGGCAGAGCCAGCCCATTGTCGCCAGCTAACCTGCTAGTTAGAAGGCAGATGCGGCAACCCTTTATTCCCTGTAATAAAGCCTGTTTGTGTTCACTCTGGCTCTTGCCTCGTCCTTCCATCGCTCTACAACACCTCCCGTTCTTCTCTCTGGGGAAAGCTGAGGGGAAGAGGAAGATGCCTTGAAAGAGAGGAGGGGGATTTGGGGGGAAGGATGGCAGGCCTCTTCTCCATTTTGCCTACCTGTGTGTTTTATCATACATGCTTGACAAACAAAATAAATAAAATGAAATAAATAAAAT